GGCAGTCTTCTCTGGTATTTGAACTGAAGACAAAAAGGTTAAGTTTTATACATCAGATTTTATTTTATCTTCTACAGATCCACCCAAGAATGCAAATACATCAGATTTTAAACCAAAAATGTACTAGGTAATACCAGATCCATACAGGTAAAGTCACATAAAAGAACATAAAAAGCTAAAGAGAACACCCTGAAGAAGCTAAGGGAGTGAATGTATTTATCAGATTCTTTTCTGGCTTCCTTTAGGAGCAAAGTGCCCACAACTGGGCTTTTAGGATGTGCTTCTGTCCTGGAACGGGACACAGAGGTGATTAACAGTGAAGCAATTTCTATTGATCCTAGAGAACTGCAAGAGAATGTAACGAGAATTCTGCATATTGTTTAAAAAATAATATTCCCAAATGAAAAAATGAAAATTGATTCCCAAGAAAATGCAGATGATAGGAATGCAAATAAATGTTCATTATGAAGACTCCATGACTTTTTGTTGTCCCTCTATAGTCTTTGTTTATCCAATACTAAAATTGCATTTGGGCACAGTATTTTATCAAAAAGCCTGTGCAAACATTTTTGTACAAGTCCTTTAACATCTAGTGGTTCCCCCCAAAACTCTGATGTCCTGAAAAATCTAATTATTACTGGTAACTTTAAAAGATCACAGTAATTTATTTTTGTCAAATGTGACTAAAGATTAATGGATACAATCAGGAATAATTTGGTAAAAACATATCAAATGCAGAGAAAGCAAAATTTGTTGTTAAGTGAAGCATCAAATATAATAAAAGAGCAAATTCCATGAATGAACAGCAACAATGCACAATTCATTAACCAAATGTCCATGATTATTTCACACTTCAGAGGGCCACTGATATGATCAGGAATTATAGTAAACGGATAAATATAGATTACCTTCAGCCATCTCTTTATAAATTTTAATTATAAACACTACCCCCAGAGGGCTACCAGTATAATAAAAGAAATACAAACTAAGGTTTGCCCATCCTTTTTATAAATCATAATTCCACATATATAAAATAAAACAGGCAATTATCTTAAGACCGCAATTAACATGCCAAGATACGTTAAAAATACATCATTTTCTTAGCTATTACTAACTGTAAAAATGAAAAACCTGATCAACTTTCAGTCTCTGGAAACTCTTATCTATTCTTATCTATTCAAAATCATCATCATTATCATCACCACCACAACTATCATCATCTACAATCATCTGTTAATATACTAGTTAATGCCTTGCTCACTACTGAATGCCCTTCACTGCCAAAAGAAAAAGTTTATTTGTTCAACAAATGGTGATAAACTGTTGTTTCTTGAAATCAAGGCCACATCATCCTAGTCTTCCTATTCTCAGAGCTGGTTCAGAACTTGGACAAATAGTATTGTTTTAAATAGAAAAAAAAAAAAAAAAAAAAAAGAAAAAGAAAACACCTGAAAATGACCTAAAGAATAACTAATAAGAACATCATTGCAATGAGTTTTTCCAAAAAGTTATTAAATGAAAATAAATAAAATGGAATTTTGCCATTAAAAATCATGAATATTATATACATGTAAAGATTGACATAAATATACTACTATTTGAAAGAAACACACTGCAAAAAAGAAATATAACTTTGTCTATTTTTTAAATATATATAAATATACACAGTATACAAAGGCAAACATAGTGAGACTTTTCAGAAGGTGAAAAAGAATAAAAGTCACTTAATGATTGCCTTATTATTATTGCACTTGAAGTCCTGCAACCCAACCTTTAACTCTTCCAGGAAGCCTGGCTTTGTAACTTTCCTTATGACCCCCTATCAGCTCCAGGCCTACATTTAAACAACTTCCTCCGTGTTCATAGACTCTTGTCTCATTTTCTCTTTTTATCATTGATATCCAGTCAGTCTCAACTCTGGATTCTATGTGACTATTTTCTGTATTTACACATGTCTAATGTGTAAATTTATTATCCACATTGGACATGTCCAGTATTACTGTACACACACACACACACACACGCACACACACACATGTCTAATGTGGATAATAAATTTACATTTCCTACGACAGCAAAGAAACTCCTATTTCCTATTACATTCTCTGCAATGACATTCCTTACTCCCACCCATAGGTAGAACATCTCATCTTGTATTTTTTTAAGAACAGCTCTTCATACTCACACAAACTCTTTATGTCTTAGAATCTTTACCCTTTGTTTCTGTCTCTCAGAAACAAGTCTCTAAGCTTCCTGCTAAAACCAAGACACATCTCTGATATCTCTTTCCTTGTGTTTTCACAAGACCGTGTTTCACATGTTTGCCTTCTACTACTATTAGGTTGGTACATGACATTTAAAAGTAATGATAAAAGCCACAATTACTGCCGGGCGCGGTGGCTCAAGCCTGTAATCCCAGCACTTTGGGAGGCCGAGGCGGGTGGATCACGAGGTCAACAGATCGAGACCATCCTGGTCAACATGGTGAAACCCCGTCTCTACTAAAAATACAAAACATTAGCTGGGCATGGTGGCGTGTGCCTGTAATCCCAGCGACTCAGGAGGTTGAGGCAGGAGAATTGCCTGAACCCAGGAGGCGGAGGTTGCGGTGAGCCGAGATCGTGCCATTTCACTCCAGCCTGGGTAACAAGAGTGAAACTCCGTCTCAAAAAAAAAAAAAAAAAAGCCACAATTACTTTTGCACCAACCTAATAACTTGCATATTAAGGTTCTCCCCCAGCACTGACTTTTTCCCCTGAGTCTACAGAAATATTCAGATTGCTCTTAACTTTACAAAAAAAGAAAATAGGAAAAGAAAAAAGGCTGTCTCCCTTCTTTATATCCTACCACACCATCAAGTTACCTCCTTTCTATTTCCTTTTTCTCCAACTCTCTTGAAAGCTTATGCTCAGGACTTCAGCACAGTGTATCCACTCCCCATCACCAAACCTTAAGGCTTATTTCCAAGTGGTCTATTCAATAAAGCCCAAAGGCTTTCTCATAGCACAACAGACCCAGCCCTGCCTTTCCACTCATCTCATGTTCTCTCATATATAGCCTCAATGCTCCAAATTACAACACATGCTGTCTCCCACACACACTGATTCCATCGTGTTCCTCCTGCACATTTTCTCAGACTGGACACTTTGAGCAAGCAATGTTTGCCTATTAAAATGTTACCTTTGCCAAATAGCATAAGTAAACTCCCAGTCGTGAGCATTCTATGTAGAAATGACTACCCTCATCTTTCAGTGTCCATAATGGCCCTGGGCCTTTTCAAGGGCCACATTCACATATTCTCTATCACATAATCTGGTCTGTGCAAACAAGCATGATAGAACTGTGGGCACCCTAACAGCACCACCTCTATCAATCATCTTTGTACACTCATGCAGCATATTCCCATGCTTACAGCAGGCACTCAGCATATATTTATAAAACCAAAATAAAAAGGATGGCTATATATTTTAGTACATAGCATGAAAATACTTGGCTATACCAAGAAATATACTTTCCTGAATCCTATTGGGGAAATGATCCTCTTTGATATAGAAAATCATCGCCTAGTAAATTCTAATTCCTAGGAGGTGTAGTCCCAAATAAGACCTCCCATTATGTTGGGAATGTGTCCCCTCCTTCCACCTTCTTTCCCAGGTCTCCAGGGGGAAAAAGTTGAATCCAAGTTATTTTGAGAAAACTATTCTCAAGATAACTGTTCTTGAAAACTATTGAATAGTTGGAAAGCCACTCTCAAACTGTTCTTCCAATAGTCCTTAGTGTATCAAGGTTAACCTGGCTCAAATTGTATTTCATGGTAGGAGACAGAAAAATTTATAAAAATTAGAGTCAACTCTGTAACACAGATTAGACGTCCTGTGCCTATATTTTGAACTTGCCATTATTTAATGTTGACAAAAAGGACTTAGGCTGTGAGGTCTGCATGGACCAAAACCTGAATCTGAGTCCTGTGAAATCACAGTAATCTAGCGTACGTGTGTGTGTGTGTGTGTGTGTGTGTGTGTGTGTGTGTGTGTAGACCTCATTAAATTCATTTTAACTTCCGTAAGAGTAGATTCCACCAGGTACATAAAGTAACTAAATCTAGAGTGGCTGTAGTAGTAATGTAATTGATCTGAGAAGAATTATTCCATCTAATAAATCATTCCCATGGAGTATTAAAATATAATAAATATTGAACTTTATATGGAAACCAAAATAGTGCACAGTCAAAATTCCTTGCAGCAGTATCCTACTCAATTCGAGACATCTGAGAATACCACAATGGAGTCCTTCCCCAGGACAATTGGTTCTGAAAGTCTTTTACATTAATGTTAGTAATAGCAGTTATAATACTATCTGTAATTTACTGAGCTTCTACTTTGTGGGACAAGTACTGTTCTAAGACTCTTCATGATTAGCACATGTAACGCTCACAACAATCATTCAAAGAAGGTACTTTTTTCCTCAATTGAAAGACAAGGGAACTGAGACATATATAATTTTAAAAAAGAACATCAAATTAATAAATTCATAAGAATATAAAATTTTCTTTTTAAATAAATTCATTGAAGTGAAATGAGTTATATCTCATTTTAAAGTTGTGCAGTGCCTGTATTTCAAAAACTCTGAAGGTGCTTCGTTAAAGATGGAAAATTTGGAAACACAAACAGAAATGTGATCTCACTATTATAGAGTGTATATTGTGTATTTATACTGGGGAGAAAGGACGAAGAGTTATCCACCTCAAGACTTACCTCTGAGCTGAACAATGAGAACACACAGAGACATGGCGGGGAACAACATACACTAGGGCCTTTGGGGTAGGACAGGGGGTGGGAGAGCATCAGGATAAATAGCTAATGCATGCGGGGGTTTAATACCTAGGTAATGGGTTAACAGGTACAGCAAACCACCATGGCACACGTTTAACTATGTAACAAACCTGCACATCCTGCATATGTACCTCAGAACTTAAAATTAAAAAGAAAAAAATGACTTACCTCTGGTGACAGCATCCAGCGCACAGCCACTTCCTGTTGCTCCTCCTCCAATAACAAGGATATCAAATTCAGATGTATTTTGTAAGGTCAGTAGTTGAGCTTCTCTGGAAGGAGGCTCCCTGTTAACTGGTTCAGAAATGCAGTCCGCAGCTTTAACATAGGCCAGGTTCATCTGATGTAAAAGCAAATCATTTTCAGTTGTCCATTTGGAATGTCAATTCAACAAATTTTACAATATACTAAAAGGAGATTTGTAATGAAAATAAGGAATATAAGAGCTGGAGAGAGTTCACAGTCTACATAGGGTTATAGGACCAACTGCCTTGGGGGAAAACAATCCTTAAATTTCTCAGTGTGTTTCTTTTCATAAATCACAACTCTTTAGCCACAGGACACCTGGTTTGAGAGTCAATATCTCAGCTGCTTATTTTAGCTTCATATACAGCCAAGTTTAATTATTCACAACACTGTAGAGCAATTCTCAAATACTTTATCTAAGGCAATTTATAGGGGAACATAAGGAGATGTTTTACCCAGTACTGGCAATTCATTCAGATAACATTTTAAAGTGGTGAAGGGGTAAAAAGAACTTCATGTCTTTCTGCAGTTTTTTAAAAGCATACGTTCTTTATTCCTCAGTTCTCCTGACAAAAATATATTCTAGTGTTGGGGGTATATAAGTTTAAGTCAGTACAATTAAAAAGAATTTATTTAACAGAAGGTACAAAATAATCAGCTATGTTTAATGTGAATTATATTTTTCAGGAAATTTAGTCAGACTTCCTTATTAAATATTTTAATATAAAACTATAGATTTTATATATTAATGTATAAATTTACATGTTCTGAAAATATAAATATACTACTACACTTTGTTGGGGTTTTTGTTTTTTGTTTTTTTTTTTTTGATACAGGGCTTCAGTCTGTTGCCCAGCCTGGGGTGCAGTGACACTATCACAGCTTACTGAAACCTCAACCTCCCCAGGCTCAGGTGATCCTGCCACCTCAGCCTACAGAGTAGCTGGGACTACAGGTGTGTGCCACCATGCCTAGCTAATTTTCCTGTTTTTTGCAGAGATGGAGTTTCACCATGTTGCCCAGCCTGGTCTCTAACTCCTGGGATGAAGCGATCCACCTGCCTCTCAGCCTTCCCAAGTGCTGAGATTATAAGCATGAGCCACTGGACCCAGCCCATTATCACAGTTTTTATAAAACTTCAACAGTGATAGCCCTCCTAAAAAATAATGACCTTCCATATTTCTAATTAAACAATGTAGCTTATCATCCTAAATCAAAAATGATACTGGACTTTAAAAATAAGTAGTTGCCAGAAGGCAGAATGGGGTCTGTTTTTTTCCAAAATTTGCTAATACTAGGTTTGTTCACTATTGCAAACAGTACTGGGCAGCACTGCTCTATTAGTGTTCCATAGATACGTGACTTCCATTTTCTTTTCTTCAAATCACAGCATCACTGCAATCCATGACGGTGATGTTTTTCCTATTCTGCTGCAGGAGCCCCATATGAAACTCTAAGCCAACAGGCCAAAGTTTGTGCAAGAGGAGGTAATCTCAGGTGTTACCAAGAGCTTATTCTAATCACCCAAAATAAGTGATATTTTAAAAATTCATTCAAATAAGATAAACCAACTTACAGCTGCATTTAATTATCAGGCCTATTGGATTTCTATGAAAGTAAACCTAGAAGCCACTGGGTATACTGAAAGAAACCTGGATTAGGGTCAGAGGGTCCCAGCCTGGGTTTTAGCACTTGGTTGCCAGAAATGTTAACTGATAATTCATTATCTCTGGTTTATTCACGTGTAAAATGGCGATTAAAAACCCCTGTGATTTCTCCTTGTATCTCTGGATTATCCTCAGTCTGAATGGAATAATAATCTGAAAGTCATTGGTAAATGACAAAGTAACCACCAGAGTTATTGCTGTTATTACTCTCTTAAATAATTTAATCTTTTAGTAGCATATAATTAGGAACTTTCAAAATATGTTTTACTAAGTTTCATAAAAACAAAAAGTTATTATCAGGCTACAGATTCCGACATCAAACCACAAAATCTTCTTTTTCATAGAGCTTCTTTTAATTATCTATTGATAATCACATTACCATTTTTACCTTTATATATGTTCAGTTTGTTAACTAAATAAATATAACCAGTAGGTACTACAGGGAACATAACATATTTCAATTTTGGTCTTTGCCTTCCATCATCTAATGAAAAGAAATATATATATATATATATATATACACACACACACACACACCACACACATACTATACATACACACAAACACACACACACACACACACATATACATATACATAACAAGTACATAGAAAGAATGAATGCCAAACTACAGGGGGAAAAACACCAGGCTATGACCACTCAGATGAGGGAGGGAGAGTCTTTCATTTGAGGGTTTGTTGCGCCATGACAGATGGGTAAGACTTGGACATGAGACTGACAAGTGACTAAACTGCCAGAGCGTTTTCACACATCAAAAAAATTGCTGACATTTTGTGCTTGGTAAGTTTTCGAGAAATACTTGAGAAATAAGTTTGAAGACCATATTATGATATAGTTCATTAGAACTTGGTAATACTAAAAGCCCCCATTCTATGCTAACTGTGAACATTAATCTTGACTGAGTTTCCCCTTCATCAAGTTTGTTAGATCTGAAAGGCATCACTAGTGTGTGAGGATCTCACTCCATTGACAACATCGTTTCTCCTATATTCACCCCTCCTTCGTCCTTCTCATCAGCAAGCTCTAACCTATCTCACACTTAACAATAATAAACACCTCTTACATGCGTCTCCAACAACTATTCTAAAAATTCCTGAAAGACCTGTAAAACTTAGTTTTCTACTGCCTTACTCCTTACTCCTCACACTCACTCTAATCTGAATTTTCATATACACCCAACCACTACCAACAACCACAAAACTGACTAAATGCCAACTATGCTACCAAATCCAATAAATGCACAACTGATTGTTCACTCACCTGCGTATCTTGGGGACAACTCTCTCTCTCTCTCTCTCTCTCTCTCTCTTTCTCTCGCCTCTTTGAACCACACTCTCTTAGCTTACTTTGTATGTCACTCTACTGCCCAAAATTAAACACCAGATTTCCTCTTAGGTCAATCACTCTCCTCAGATCACTCTCCTCAGATCACTAAGAACTCAAAAGAGAGAGAGAGAGAAAATACCTTATCATCAAATATCCTTTATAACACAATAATTTCTAATTTTGTTCCACCATTCAGGAACCCAGATCTTACACTGCCTACTTGGGACCTCCATTTGGATGTCTTACATATATCTCAAAATTGGTCCAATCACTTTATCTCCTCAAACCTTTTTCTCTGTCAGTGTTCCTCATCTCAGTAAGGGCATCATTATACACGTAGTTGCTTATGCCAGAAATGCAGAATCATCCTTGACAGCTCCTACTCTCTTAAGTCCTGTATCTGGCCAATCACTGAGTTTATCAATTCTGTCTTTTAAAAAATTTCCACGTCTAGTCACTTCACCTCCACTGCTACCTCTCAAATCAAGGTATCTTCCCTCTCCCCTGTACTAACATGATATTCTCCCAAAGGCGTTCACACATTTACCCAGCCTCCTTCCATATCATTTTCTACAGTACAACTGGAGTGATCATTTAAAAACCCAAACAATGTCATTTCTGTGTATAAAACCCTTCGAGAGCTTCCAACTGAATATATCTCTACTCAGGTTTCCAAGAGTCTTCATGGCCTTTTACAATAGCTAAAATCAAAGAAAAAAAAAGGGGGGGGATTGTGCAATGGCTCACTCCTATAATCCCAGCACTTTGAGAGGCCAAAGTAGGGGGATCACCTGAGATCAAAAGTTCAAGACCAGCCTGGCCAATGTGGTAAAACATCATCTCTACTAAAAATACAAAAATTAGCCGGGTATGGTGGCACATGCCTGTAGGGAACCACATCCAATCGTTTCTCTGTTGTCCATGACTGTAATAGCAGAGCTGAACAGTTGCAACAGAGACTGTGTGGCCTGCAAGCCTACAACATTTACTCAGGAGGCTGAGACAGGAAAATTGCTTGAACCCAGGAGGAGGAGGCTGCAGTGAGCAGAGTTCATGCCATTGCACTCCAGCCTAGGTGACAGAGCCAGAGTCTGTCTCCAAAGAAAAAAAAAAAAAAAAAAAAGGGGCAGGAAGGCAATACCAAGTACTGGTGAGGATGCAACACAATTGAAACTCTCTTATACTGCTTAAAGAAATGCAAAATTATACCACTATTTTGGAAAACAGTTCAAGAGTGTCTCTCTCTCTCTTTTTTTTTTTTTCTTTTGAGACAGAGTCTCACTCTGTCACCTAGGCTGGAGTGCAGAGGTGCCATTTCAGCTCACTGCAACCCCTGCCACCTGAGTTCAAGAGATTCTCCTGCCTCAGCCTCCTGAGTAGCTGGGACTACAGGTGCCTGCCACCACACTGAGCTAATTTTTATAGTTTTAGTACAGATGGGTTTTCACCAACCAGGCTAGTGTTGAACTCCTGACCTCATGATCCACCCACCTCGGCCTCTCAAAGTGCTGGAGTTACAGGCGTGAGCCACCACACCTGGCCAGGAGTGTCATGTAAAGGTAAGCACACACCACACAGCCCAGCAATCCCTCTCCTACATGGCTATCTAAAAGAAATGAAAATCTGTGTTCACACAGAAGCCTGTAGGCAAATATTTACAATGGCTTTATTCATAATTGTCCTAACCTGGGAAAATAAAAAAAAACTAAACATCCTTCACCTGGTGAATGACTAATTAAACTGTGACACATCTATGCAATGGAATAATAAACGGAAATAAAAGAGAACAAACTACTGCTACACAGCAACACGAATGAACCTCAAATGCAATATGCTAAATCAGGGGTCAGCAAATTATGGTCTTCAGCCTAAACCTGGTTGCTGCTTGCTGCCTGTTGTTGTAAACAAAGTGTCACTAGAAGACAGCCATATCCAATCATTTCTGTGTTGTCAATGACTGTAATGGCAGAGCTGAATAGCTGCTACAGAGATTGTATGGCCTGCAAGCCTAAAACATTTACTCTAGCTCTTTACAGAAAAGTCTCCTAATCCCTGTAGTAAGCAAAAGAAGCCAGATTCAG